GTCTAGATGACCCCAGCCAGATGCCTATCTAACCTCCTCTTGAAGACCCCCAGGGTAGGGGAGAGCACCACCTCCCAGGGCAGGGGTGCACAAGCAAGGGATCACAGCTCTGACCCGGATCCAGACCAGGCTGTCACCGCTGCAAGAAGCTGGGGCAGAGCTGCGATCCTTTGCTTGTGTGCCCCTGCCCAGAGCGTGCAGGCTGCAGATCGTGGTTCTGCCCTGGCTCCGGAGTAAGCTGCCCCATCACAAGATCCCAGCAGCTCTGGAGCAGCCCCCTGCACGTGCTACTGGTGCATCTGAGACTGGTCTCCATGGCAAGCCCAGCCTGAGCTTTCCTACGCAGGTGTGGCTGGGGTCTCCATGGAGACCAGCCCAAGCCATGAGGGTAGGGGTGTCTGGGTAATGGAAGCCTCGGCTGACCAGATCCAGCCCATAGGCCATCCCTGTACTGGAGCCTCCAGATGAATGCAAGTGTTCCCAACTCGCCCTCATCAGTCAGAGGAGCGGGAGTCACTTTGGTCCCTGCTCTCTCCAGAAGCTGAAGAAGCAGGCTAGGGGTGGGATGGCTGGAGGTGAGAGCAGCCCAGGGCAAATAAGAGTGCAGGGTATTCTCCCCCTTCCTCCCATGCTCTGTGCTCGTGTGTCTGGACTCTACCTACCACAGCTTGGCTCTTCCACGTTCTGCTGTGAACCAGGTCCTGCGCAGAGAGAGGCAAAGCACTTGGCTTGACGAGCCAGCTGTCAGCCATTGCCGAGGCTGGGAAAATGTCTGCTGAGAAATGTGAATGTGAGAGGTCAGGAAGTGTGCCTGGGATCTCACCAGGGCTCCCCAGAGCATCTTCCAGACACCCTGTGGTAAGTGTAGCCCCACTTACCTTGACACTGGCCCTGCCTTCTCTCCCCTTTCGGGAAGACCAGCCACAATACACCTCCTCCCCCAAGGTGCCTGCTGGAGTCTCTCTTCAGCTTAGGGAGGCTCCAGTACCTGTTAGAGGTTAGCACACTATATGAAGATGCTGGGTTCAGAAGAGAAACAACCTTAAGCACCTGTGGTATGCAGAAGACAGTCATCTGGGAAGAGGGATCAAACCTTCTCCCCTGTCAAAACTGTGTTTCCTGAGAGATTGGCCTCAGGATTGAGAACTGTCCTCATCCTGCCCTTCAGGGCTGGGAAGGAGCAGGGGTCTGTTGCCTTCCAGAAGCTGTTCATGACTCTGGCCTTGGGAGGGGATGAGCCCAGGCTTGGAGCAAAATATGGCCCCAGTCCCAAGGCAAGGTCAGGTTGCCACCACTCTTGACTCGCTGTGACCAGTGAGATAGAAATTCCAGTCTGAGCATGAAGTCTCAGTTTTGGGGAGGGGACGAGGACAAGCCTCAGCAGAAGAGCAGGGGCAGGTGCCCAGTGACTGTGTCCTTTGCCTCCAACAGCAGTTTAAGACTTGGTTTGAGTCAAGCAACCCCATGGAGAGAGCCAGGGTCATGAGGAGCAGCACCACCCTTCTCTACCGCACTTGCCAGCTCATCCCACCATTTTAGATAGGTGACCCAAGACCCTCAGGCTTCTGACCATAGGAGGAGGCAGAGCTGACTTGGATAGCCTGTGAGGTCTGCAAATACAGGAGCTCAGGGCAGTACAGAGGTGCACTTTGGGGGCAGAGCTACAAACAAATCCCTCTGATTCTGGCTGAGTGGACCCCCCAGGGGTTTAGGGGCCTGTGCTCCATACACAACTCAAGGCTCTTTCAAACTTGGTCCTAGTGGTGCTTCTGCTCATCCTGGAGCAGCAGGTGCAGGGAGTGCTTGTAACAGGCCTTGCCCTAGACTCTGGCTCCCACCTCCTATGTGGGCCGAGGGATTTAGTGCTCTAGCTTTTGCTTCTCTGCCCCAGGCCTTCCCATGAGGATGCCAGTGCCAGGACAGAGCAGCCTGGGACTGAACATATTAGATGGGAATGTACTCCCTTCTCTTCTTCCACAAGAACTTCTTGGATGTATCCCAGCTGGGTGATGTTGTGGTCCAAGTGGGGCTACTTGTGAATGACCCAGCCAAGGACATCTGTGGGCAGGCTGAGGATGGGATCCACAAACTCTACAAAATCCTTCAGCACCAGAGGGGTGAGGAAGACACCTATGGACAGGAGACCCCTCACCTGGACACTGACCCGAGCTGGAGGACATGATGTTTTGTCCTGTCCAACTCAATCCAGGCTGGATGAGCATAAAAGTGTAAGTGACACTGCCTCTGTGGGGAGGGCAGCAGGGTGGGGAGACCCAAGCCCACAACAGGCAGCCTGCATCTGCCCCCACCTCCCATGGGCTCCACTCAGCTCTGCTCTGGCTGCCACTGAGGGGGGTGGAGGAGTGAAGGTAGTGGGCATGTGTCCTGCCTTCCCATTTTGAAAAGGCAGTCACCCTTCCCTGCAGTCCATGGGGTAAAGAGCCAGTGATTCTCAACCTGGATGTTGTGGCCCGCTAGGGAGCCTAAAGATTGTTTTGAGGATGTCACGAGGCACCAGGCAGTGTTATCATTATCAGGTGCGCAAACGTTGTTCACAGGGTAAACCCAGAGATTTCCAATAGGAATCCATAGGGGTAGAAACATGCTGCCCTGTTGTGGGCGTTCTGGGCTCTGTGCAACAGAAGAACGTCTCTGGTATTTTTCCATTGTCAAAAATGGAGGTAAAACTAAGAGCTGGTAATTTCT